TAATTGAATAAAATTAACGAATTTATTAGATTTCCTGAAAAAATAAAAATATTGTCAAATTTTCTTTAAAAAAAGATAATATAATTTGTGTCGTTTAATGAAAACAGACACCAGATGGCAGGTTATGACGGTCGTTTTTTTCAAAAATTAAAAATTCATGATGTACAGAAAAAAAAAATTTTACGTTTTTTTCATTTATTTGGAAAATTCAAAACTGTACACATTTTTTATCTACTTATTTTCATAGTTAGAAAAATTTTATTTTGTAATGACATTTTTTACAGATAATAATTTTAGTAAAAAAAAAAAATTGAAACAACCAGGAATCGAACCCACGATTTTTGGGTTAGCAGTTGAGTGCAGTATCCACTTGTCTATTAGACCTTGTATTGGTTATCTTCAAGTAGATGATATTTAAGGAACGAAAAATTTTTCGTTCCAAAAAAAAAATTAAAGAATTTATTAGATTTCCTGAGAAAATTAAAATATTGTCAAATTTTCTTTAAAAAAAGATAATATAATTTGTGTTGTTTAATGAAAACAGACACCAGATGGCAGGTTATGACGGTCGTTTTTTTCAAAAATTGAAAATTCATGATGTAGAGAAAAAAAAATTTTTACGTTTTTTTCATTTATTTGGAAAATCCAAAACTGTACACATTTTTTATCTACTTATTTTCAAACTTAGAAAAATTTTATTTTGTAATGACATTTTTTTACAGATAATAATTTTAGTAAAAAAAAAAAATTTGAAACAACCAGGAATCGAACCCACGATTTTTGGGTTAGCAGTTGAGTGCAGTATCCACTTGTCTATTAGACCTTGTTTCGGTTATCTTCATGCAGATGATATTTAAGGAACGAAAAATTTTTCGTTCCAAAAAAAAAATTGATTCTGAAATCAACCCAAAGGTTGATTCCAGAATCAATTTTTTTTAATTGGATAAAATTAAAGAATTTATTAGATTTTCTAAAAAATTTAAAATAGTAAGATATTGTCAAATTTTCTTTAAAAAAAAAATAATATAATTTGTGTTGTGTAATGAAACCAGACACCAGATGGCAGGTTATGACGGTCGTTTTTTTCAAAAATTACAAATTCATGAAAAAGAGGAAAAAAATTATCTTTTTTCGTTTCTTTAATGATCGAAAAACCTGCAAATTTTTTTTTTAAGGAATTTTTTACCCATTAATTTTTTTTTTGAAATAAATTTTTTTACAGATAATAATAATAATTAAGAAAAAATTTTTTATCGAAAATAAATTGATTTGAAATCAATTCAGAGATTGATTCCAGAATTAATTCTTAATTATAAAATATTAGTTTATTTATTACTCTTCAAAAAAAAAAAAATTACGTAAACAATTTAATATCAACAAATATTTTTAAAAGGAAAAAAATGTAAACAAACTAACCCTACTTAACCTGGAATTTTTTTTTTATTTTTTTTTTCTTCACTTACCTTGAATTAAACAAATCGCAGAAAACATCTGGTATTCCATTTTGGGTTAATTTTATAAATTCACTTCACTTTTTTATTTCACAATTACTTTTTTAATTTAATAATTTTGTAAACATTTTCTGTTTACATTTTCAAATTAAATCACGAAAGTTTCTAGTAACTTTCTCTTAAACTAACCAATCACAACATTTCGTTCAATGGGAAGTTAGCCTTTTGTTTTTTTACGGAATACATTACGGATAACAAAAATGACGTCATAATTATTCTTATTTTTATACATTTGCCAATTTTATTTATTCGAAATTGGTTAACAATTTTCAATTTTTAACCAAATGGTCCCTCTTAGAATTTTTTTCTCTATCGATCTATAAGAGGTTGTCCACGACTTCCCAATCACGCTGTATAAAGAAAGAACAGTATTGATATTTTCATCTTTTTTATTTTTATCTTTGCCTTTTTTTAACTAAATTGTGGTTCATGTTATTGTTTTTACAAGGAATGGATAAAATGCTATGATTTTTTAGATATGAAGAAGTTTTTTTAAAAAGGTTTGGAACATATAAGGTAAAAAAATCTTTGGTATCATTGTGTAATAGGTATTATTCTTTTTTGTTATAGGATATTTAGTTATATTTTTATTTCTAAATTTCAATGGATAATTAATTGTTTTTTAGTAATATTTCTTTGACCAATTAGATTATAAATTATAGCATTTTTTTTGGTTAAAAGGATGATTAGAGTCATAATTGATAGTTCTTTCAGAAAATGTGTGTTTCATGTACCAGTGAGTAATGAGTTGATTTTTTTCGTCAATAATAATAAAAACATCTAGGATGCTAATAGAGTTGTTGTTTTGAATTTCATAAGTGAACTGCAATCTTTCGTCACAACTGTTATAAATAAATGTAATTAAATTTTATACAACTTTCATATTAATTATTATAAAAAAATCGATATGTTACGTATTCTAATTGTAATTATTTAATAAATTTGTAGTTTCTGAAGAGGGCAGCTGCGCTGTCGAAATGTAAAAAATTGTTTTATTTCAAACCTGCCTCTAAGTGATCATTCAATTCATGTTTCATATTTTAAATATAATTATTGAAATAATAAAAAAATTATTAAATATATCTTCTTTGTTGTCTATTCATTAAATTTCTATTATTTTCATAAATGTAAATGAAATAAAAATCAATTATTTTTTTAATTATAGTTCTGATTTCAACATGAATATAATCTTTGTCGGTAAATATATATTAACTGATAAGTAATTAGCCCAGATCTATAATATTCTTTATTTCAATTTAAAACAACTTTATTATTTAATTACGTTAAAATTGTATCTAATACATTGAATGTACAATAAATTGAAAATTTAAATTATAATTAATATTAAAGTGGTGCGCTTAGCAAATTTTAATTTTTTATAAAGAAACACAAACCTATTAATGTTTTTCAGAGTAAAAAAATGATTTGATTTTTTATTACATATTAATTTTTTATTAACTAAATTATATAAAAAAAAAATTTTAATGCAAATTGAATAGGGGAGAGTGCTCAAACTTTTTACAATGAGACACTTTAAGGGGGGAAACTCGTGTAAATGCACGTTTTTTTAGGAAATTAAAAAAAAACTGGTAAAGTTTATTGAATTAAAGTAAAGCATACCTTAAAGTTCACAATATAAGCTTTATAAAAAAAATTTTTTTATTAAAAAATATTACAATATGGTGGCGTTACAGGCGTTTGAAGTTGCATCTTTGATTTTGCGCCGTGCAGCCTACAGGTCACAAATCTCAACTAAAATTAAAAATCAAAATTTTTACCGTTAAAATACGCGAATACGCTTTGCATGACGAAGAGAAAACTAAAAAATTTTTTTTTGAAAATTTGGGACTATTTTGAAAAAAAAATCAATGTTTTTTTATATACAATGTTCAAAAACAATTGTTAAAATTTTTTTTTAAAGAAAGGAGCTCGTCATATAGTAGCCAGTAAGATAAAGAAAATTTGTGGTAAGTTTGATTAAAATCGGTTGAAAATTGGCTGAGTTACATTGCACGGCGCGCGAAAAAACACGTTTCGAGAAAAACGCGTATTAAGTTTTCGATACATAAAAGTAGTGTTTTAACTATTGCTTTGAAGACGTTATGTATTCGAAAATAACTATTGAACTGAAACAAAGATTTACTATCACTTGCTTATGGTGCTTGCTAATGACAATTAATAATAAAATTATATTGACAAGAAACTGAAAGAATAGAGGAATCTCGTGTTCATAGTTAACTGCATTTGGTTGCATCTGAAGTGCTAAATTTATGATTACTATAGACATTCATACATTTAATTATAGATTAGTAATGTAGGGTCATATTCTACAGATAGTAACCTCATTTTTAAAGCAAAAAAAATACTTGTAACAAAATTTTGTTTTACACGAGTTTCCCCCATTAATTTTATGAAAAACAACATAAAGAAACTGGACCAAAATTTAAGTGCGAATCATGTTTATGTAAACACATTAACTCCAAAAATTTTATTCATATTTATTTATTATTTACAAAGAAAAATTTAAAAAAAAAACTGTTTTTCACAAAGCGGAAAAACTTTTTGCTTGAAATGCAATTATCATTTTTATATCTTTCAAGAAAGTTTACTTACTATACTTCGATTACTTAAATTCTTAACTTCAATAGCTGATAATTTCCAATTTTTTTAAAACCTAAACAAATTTTATTTAAATAATTTCTTGTAATTGCTTGTGTTCATCAATGAGACAGGCAAAATTTTAAGCTTATGATATATGGATATTGGCAACTAATAAATTTTTTTTTAGGTTATGGTTAAGTTTTGACGTTTATAAAAGCAACTTCGAAAGTCAAAGTTATACGTCTATATATCTAAACAAAATTATTTTTTATTTAAAATTTACTTTTTTTTATCATTTTAAGTACAATTTATAATAAAATGAGTATTGTACAAAGATCATATTGAGTTCAAGTTTTTTTTTATTATATACTAAATGCTATGCCGAATAAAAAGTCCACACAATAAAAATTAAAATGACTAAAGACTCGATTTATTAACATTCAAATGTATTAAAATCTGCATAATAAAATTTTTATCTATAAATAAAAATAATATATAACACATATTACACTCAATACTATTTCATAGAATTTTAACAATATAACTTTTTAACAAAAAAATGAACGCAACAAGTTATTTTCACAATATTGTCTTGGGGCAAAAACCTTCTAGCGATTATGCATATCTATTAGTTTTCATTAAATGTATATTATTAGTTTGATAATAAATCCAAAATAACTAAACAAATGAGGTCGAAATATACTACTAGCCAAAAGATAAACTACAATTTGTCAATTGTCATTAAATTTGGAAATATGTTACTCAATTTGTAACTGTTAAAATCTATTAAGAAATCATTAAATCGTAAAATATACAACAATAATGATGGATTAATAATTATTTAAATACGGGTATCTCAACTTCAGAGTTATTCAGTCTACTGATTTACTGCTGACACCACTTCTAAGAAGCAAAGTGAGTTTTCTTCAATTTAATTAACTTTGGTGTAATACAATTTTAACAAATTGGAATATAAAATAAACTGTGAACGAAAATAGTGTTTTAGTATCAAACATTTGTCATATTTATAAAATTCATTAAAATATATTTCACTTAAAATTAAAAAAACTATTTGCATTAATGATGTGCATTAAGAACATTTGAACCTTCGCGACGTCACAAATCATGGCGCATGACACGCAAACTTCTCAGGTATGTGAAAAGCACAATTTTGAATATTTTTTAAAAAAACCTTTTGGAAAATGTTCAGAATAACATAGACTCTGTCTGTTATGTGCGGAAAATTCAAAATTTTGCGTTTAAAACGTTTTTTAAACAATGTTTAAGTTCCAAAAATGGCCTACATATAAGCAATTCGTGTATTTTTACTTACTTGTGACAACCAACTTAAACATTGTTTAAAAAACGTTTTATACGCAAAATTTTTAATTTTTCGCACAGAACAGACATAGTCTATGTTTCTCTGAACATTTTCCAAAAGGTTTTTTAAAAAATATTCAAAATTGTGTTTTTCACATACCTGAGAAGTTTGCGTGTCATGCGCCATGATTTGTGACCTTAACATTGTTTAAAAAACGTTTTAAACGCAAAATTTTGAATTTTCCGCACATAACAGACAGAGTCTATGTTATTCTGAACATTTTCCAAAAGGTTTTTTTAAAAAATATTCAAAATTGTGCTTTTCACATACCTGAGAAGTTTGCGTGTCATGCGCCATGATTTGTGACGTCACGAAGGTTCAAATGCTCTTAATAATAATATTTGATCGATATAATACTTTTATTAGTTGCCCAGTGGGCAAAAACCTTGTTCGTTTTGAAAACTTTTTATTTAATATCGATGCAACTAGGCCGTTTGGTTGTCAGAACTAAATTTTTTTGATGAATCGTTTTGTTCGGTCTACCAAATTTTTTGTTTCGCACAACTAAATTATTGTTTTTAAGCAATGAAAAAATTTTGTTGAATGAAATTTTTTTTTCTCAACCAACTTATTTTTTGGATAACACTTTTCGATTTATATAATCTACCTATGCCTACTTAAATTAATTTATATCGCGGAAAAAACCTAACACTGCTGGAGCTCGAACCCTCAGACTACGCAAAGCAAGTCGAGAACGCTGACCACTACTCTACGAATCCTACTAACAATTTAAGATTAAATCATTTTCACAATGTATAAATGCTGGAAAAAACTTTAGTTCTTTTAACAAGTTTTATTTATTTATTCTTACTACACAAACTTTTTTTTAAAAAAATGTCTGAAAAACATTAAAAACTTTAACACTGAAACTTCACAAAAGGAAACGACGTACGGTTATTGTTAACATCCCGTGAATGGGAAACGTTTTAAAAACGTCCTAAAAATGTTTTTAGAACGAACATGGTATTTTGCCCACTGGGCGTACGCAGATAAAAATGTGATTACAACTTTAAATAAGAATGATTGAAGTTATATAGTTTTAATACTTTCCATAAAAAGCATAAAAAATATTCCTGGTCTTTTCGTAATATATGCAACATTTTTTAAACGATTCTAAAAAGCAAAGATGTAAGTCGCACTAAAAAACATTCTGTATACCCAAATGCATTTTTTCCCAGAACTTACTCTCTAAATCTGAATAAGTGAAATTTCACTTAGAATGTTTAAAAAGTGTTTAACGTAGAAAAATAAGTGTATATTCACATAAAAATAGGTGAAATATCACTTATTTTTAAATGAAAATGATTCATTTTTAGGTGCATATAAACTTACTTTTCTACGTGGCAGAATTTTGAAACATTCTAAGTAAAATTTCACTTATTCAGATATAGAGAATAGTTTTTAAAATAATTAAAAACTACAATCGATATAAATAATTATTAAAAACCAAGATCATAAAATTAAACTACTTAATATTTAATAAAGTCTTGTTTCAACCATATAATTTATCTTAAAAGATATTTCTATTCTTCATAAAACAATACGAAAAGCAAAACAATTTTCTTTGAACTGAAAAAAGAAAGGTATTAATGTAAGACCGATTTCAGGCACTAAATTTTCATTTGGTTCAATTTTGATACCTAAAATCAGTACTGTATTAGTACTTTCTTTTTACAGTGTAATAACAATTTTAAAATTTGGAAGGCGACCTATAAACACAGGACAAAATCCTAAATACATAATATAATAGAACAAATAGTTAGCTATAACATACTAACCAATATTCTTAATATTCTCTAAAACTCTAATAGTTTACAATCATGGCCGATTCGAATAAAACAACATCAACAACAGGTGTAGGAGGATATGATAGTTGCGGCTGCTGCTGTTGCTATTCTTCACCCCGAACACTTCTCCCAACACCAACGACAAACAAAGACCACATTCAAGTTTCGAACTCAGATCAGCATGAGTTGCATATCAAACAAGAATCTTCTTCCAGAATCACTCATGATGAATCAAAAAAATTAGTCTTCAACTCTAACAATACTAAAACCGTGACTTCAACTGCCAATGTAGATAATATGAAAAAGGAAGACAAGAAGGAGAACGACAATCAAGTTTCTAACTCAGTTGACAATAACTTGCATATCGAACAAAAAACTTCTTCTACTGGCATTTATGGTAAAGAAGAAAAAATAGTCTTCAATTCTAGCAATGCTAAAATCACGAGTTCAACTGGCAATGCTGATAATACCAAAAAGGACGAGAAGAAGGAGAACGACAATCAAGTTTCTAACTCAGGTGACAATAATTTGCAAATCGAACAAAAAACTTCTTCTACTGGCTCTTATGGTAAAAAAGAAAAATTAGTCTTGAACTCCAGCAATGCTAAAATCACGACTTCAACTGGCAATCCTGATAATACCAAAAAGGAAGAGAAGAAGGAGAACGACAGTCAAGTTTCTAACTCAGTTGACAATAACTTGCATATCGAACAAAAAACTTCTTCTACTGGCTCTTATGGTAAAGAAGAAAAATTAGTCTTGAACTCCAGCAATGCTAAAATCACGAGTTCAACTGGCAATGCTGATAATACCAAAAAGGACGAGAAGAAGGAGAACGACAATCAAGTTTCTAACTCAGTTGACAATAACTTGCATATCGAACAAAAAACTTCTTCTACTGGCTCTTATGGTAAAGAAGAAAAATTAGTCTTCAATTCTAGCAATGCTAAAATCACGACTTCAACTGGCAATGCTGATAATACCAAAAAGGACGAGAAGAAGGAGAACGACAATAAAGTTTCTAACTCAGTTGACAATAACTTGCATATCGAACAAAAAACTTCTTCTACTGGCTCTTATGGTAAAGAAGAAAAATTAGTCTTCAATTCTAGCAATGCTAAAATCACGACTTCAACTGGCAATGCTGATAATACCAAAAAGGACGAGAAGAAGGAGAACGACAATAAAGTTTCTAACTCAGTTGACAATAACTTGCATATCGAACAAAAAACTTCTTCTACTGGCTCTTATGGTAAAGAAGAAAAATTAGTCTTCAATTCTAGCAATGCTAAAATCACGACTTCAACTGGCAATGCTGATAATACCAAAAAGGACGAGAAGAAGGAGAACGACAATAAAGTTTCTAACTCAGTTGACAATAACTTGCATGTCGAACAAAAAACTTCTTCTACTGGCTCTTATGGTAAGGAAGAAAAATTAGTCTTGAACTCCAGCAATGCTAAAATCACGACTTCAACTGGCAATGCTGATAATACCAAAAAGGAGGAGAAGAAGGAGAACGACAATCAAGTTTCTAACTCAGTTGACAATAACTTGCATATCGAACAAAAAACTTCTTCTACTGGCTCTTATGGTAAAGAAGAAAAATTAGTCTTCAACTCTAGCAATGCTGAAATCACGACTTTAACAGGCAATGCTGATAATACCAAAAAGGACGAGAAGAAGGAGAACGACAATCAAGTTTCTAACTCAGTTGACAATAACTTGCATATCGAACAAAAAACTTCTTCTACTGGCTCTTATGGTAAAGAAGAAAAATTAGTCTTCAATTCTAGCAATGCTAAAATCACGACTTCAACTGGCAATGCTGATAATACCAAAAAGGACGAGAAGAAGGAGAACGACAATAAAGTTTCTAACTCAGTTGACAATAACTTGCATGTCGAACAAAAAACTTCTTCTACTGGCTCTTATGGTAAGGAAGAAAAATTAGTCTTGAACTCCAGCAATGCTAAAATCACGACTTCAACTGGCAATGCTGATAATACCAAAAAGGAGGAGAAGAAGGAGAACGACAATCAAGTTTCTAACTCAGTTGACAATAACTTGCATATCGAACAAAAAACTTCTTCTACTGGCTCTTATGGTAAAGAAGAAAAATTAGTCTTCAATTCTAGCAATGCTAAAATCACGACTTCAACTGGCAATGCTGATAATACCAAAAAGGACGAGAAGAAGGAGAACGACAATCAAGTTTCTAACTCAGGTGACAATAATTTGCAAATCGAACAAAAAACTTCTTCTACTGGCTCTTATGGTAAAGAAGAAAAATTAGTCTTCAACTCTAGCAATGCTGAAATCACGACTTTAACTGGCAATGCTGATAATACCAAAAAGGACGAGAAGAAGGAGAACGACAATCAAGTTTCTAACTCAGTTGACAATAACTTGCATGTCGAACAAAAAACTTCTTCTACTGGCTCTTATGGTAAGGAAGAAAAATTAGTCTTGAACTCCAGCAATGCTAAAATCACGACTTCAACTGGCAATGCTGATAATACCAAAAAGGAGGAGAAGAAGGAGAACGACAATCAAGTTTCTAACTCAGTTGACAATAACTTGCATATCGAACAAAAAACTTCTTCTACTGGCTCTTATGGTAAAGAAGAAAAATTAGTCTTCAATTCTAGCAATGCTAAAATCACGACTTCAACTGGCAATGCTGATAATACCAAAAAGGACGAGAAGAAGGAGAACGACAATCAAGTTTCTAACTCAGGTGACAATAATTTGCAAATCGAACAAAAAACTTCTTCTACTGGCTCTTATGGTAAAGAAGAAAAATTAGTCTTCAACTCTAGCAATGCTGAAATCACGACTTTAACTGGCAATGCTGATAATACCAAAAAGGACGAGAAGAAGGAGAACGACAATCAAGTTTCTAACTCAGTTGACAATAACTTGCATATCGAACAAAAAACTTCTTCTACTGGCTCTTATGGTAAAGAAGAAAAATTAGACTTCAACTCTAGCAATGCTAAAATCACGACTTCAACTGGCAATGCTGATAATACCAAAAAGGAAGAGAAGAAGGAGAACTACTATAAAGTTACGGATTGTAGCGATTATGGTTTCGTGTCTTCTATTGCCTTTTCTGAAGAGAAGAAGGAGAACGACAATCAAGTTTCTAACTCAGGTGACAATAATTTGCAAATCGAACAAAAAACTTCTTCTACTGGCTCTTATGGTAAAGAAGAAAAATTAGTCTTCAACTCTAGCAATGCTGAAATCACGACTTCAACTGGCAATGCTGATAATACCAAAAAGGACGAGAAGAAAGAGAACGACAATCAAGTTTCTAACTCAGTTGACAATAACTTGCATATCGAACAAAAAACTTCTTCTACTGGCTCTTATGGTAAAGAAGAAAAATTAGTCTTCAATTCTAGCAATGCTAAAATCACGACTTCAACTGGCAATGCTGATAATACCAAAAAGGACGAGAAGAAGGAGAACGACAATCAAGTTTCTAACTCAGTTGACAATAACTTGCATATCGAACAAAAAACTTCTTCTACTGGCTCTTATGGTAAAGAAGAAAAATTAGTCTTCAATTCTAGCAATGCTAAAATCACGACTTCAACTGGCAATGCTGATAATACCAAAAAGGACGAGAAGAAGGAGAACGACAATCAAGTTTCTAACTCAGGTGACAATAATTTGCAAATCGAACAAAAAACTTCTTCTACTGGCTCTTATGGTAAAGAAGAAAAATTAGTCTTCAACTCTAGCAATGCTGAAATCACGACTTTAACTGGCAATGCTGATAATACCAAAAAGGACGAGAAGAAGGAGAACGACAATCAAGTTTCTAACTCAGTTGACAATATCTTGCATATCGAACAAAAAACTTCTTCTACTGGCTCTTATGGTAAAGAAGAAAAATTAGTCTTCAATTCTAGCAATGCTAAAATCACGACTTCAACTGGCAATGCTGATAATACCAAAAAGGACGAGAAGAAGGAGAACGACAATCAAGTTTCTAACTCAGGTGACAATAATTTGCAAATCGAACAAAAAACTTCTTCTACTGGCTCTTATGGTAAAGAAGAAAAATTAGTCTTCAACTCTAGCAATGCTGAAATCACGACTTTAACTGGCAATGCTGATAATACCAAAAAGGACGAGAAGAAGGAGAACGACAATCAAGTTTCTAACTCAGTTGACAATATCTTGCATATCGAACAAAAAACTTCTTCTACTGGCTCTTATGGTAAAGAAGAAAAATTAGTCTTCAATTCTAGCAATGCTAAAATTTCGAGTTCAACTGGCAATGCTGATAATACCAAAAAGGACGAGAAGAAGGAGAACGACAATCAAGTTTCTAACTCAGTTGACAATAACTTGCATATCGAACAAAAAACTTCTTCTACTGGCTCTTATGGTAAAGAAGAAAAATTAGTCTTCAATTCTAGCAATGCTAAAATCACGACTTCAACTGGCAATGCTGATAATACCAAAAAGGACGAGAAGAAGGAGAACGACAATCAAGTTTCTAACTCAGGTGACAATAATTTGCAAATCGAACAAAAAACTTCTTCTACTGGCTCTTATGGTAAAGAAGAAAAATTAGTCTTCAACTCTAGCAATGCTGAAATCACGACTTTAACTGGCAATGCTGATAATACCAAAAAGGACGAGAAGAAGGAGAACGACAATCAAGTTTCTAACTCAGTTGACAATATCTTGCATATCGAACAAAAAACTTCTTCTACTGGCTCTTATGGTAAAGAAGAAAAATTAGTCTTCAATTCTAGCAATGCTAAAATCACGACTTCAACTGGCAATGCTGATAATACCAAAAAGGACGAGAAGAAGGAGAACGACAATCAAGTTTCTAACTCAGGTGACAATAATTTGCAAATCGAACAAAAAACTTCTTCTACTGGCTCTTATGGTAAAGAAGAAAAATTAGTCTTCAACTCTAGCAATGCTGAAATCACGACTTTAACTGGCAATGCTGATAATACCAAAAAGGACGAGAAGAAGGAGAACGACAATCAAGTTTCTAACTCAGTTGACAATATCTTGCATATCGAACAAAAAACTTCTTCTACTGGCTCTTATGGTAAAGAAGAAAAATTAGTCTTCAATTCTAGCAATGCTAAAATTTCGAGTTCAACTGGCAATGCTGATAATACCAAAAAGGACGAGAAGAAGGAGAACGACAATCAAGTTTCTAACTCAGTTGACAATAACTTGCATATCGAACAAAAAACTTCTTCTACTGGCTCTTATGGTAAAGAAGAAAAATTAGTCTTGAACTCCAGCAATGCTAAAATCACGAGTTCAACTGGCAATGCTGATAATACCAAAAAGGAAGAGAAGAAGGAGAACGACAATCAAGTTTCTAACTCAGTTGACAATAACTTGCATATCGAACAAAAAACTTCTTCTACTGGCTCTTATGGTAAAGAAGAAAAATTAGTCTTCAATTCTAGCAATGCTAAAATCACGACTTCAACTGGCAATGCTGATAATACCAAAACGGAAGAGAAGAAGGAGAACGACAATCAAGTTTCTAACTCAGGTGACAATAATTTGCAAATCGAACAAAAAACTTCTTCTACTGGCTCTTATGGTAAAGAAGAAAAATTAGTCTTCAACTCTAGCAATGCTGAAATCACGACTTCAACTGGCAATGCTGATAATACCAAAAAGGACGAGAAGAAAGAGAACGACAATCAAGTTTCTAACTCAGTTGACAATAACTTGCATATCGAACAAAAAACTTCTTCTACTGGCTCTTATGGTAAAGAAGAAAAATTAGTCTTCAATTCTAGCAATGCTAAAATCACGAGTTCAACTGGCAATGCTGATAATACCAAAAAGGACGAGAAGAAGGAGAACGACAATCAAGTTTCTAACTCAGTTGACAATAACTTGCATATCGAACAAAAAACTTCTTCTACTGGCTCTTATGGTAAAGAAGAAAAATTAGACTTCAACTCTAGCAATGCTAAAATCACGACTTCAACTGGCAATGCTGATAATACCAAAAAGGAAGAGAAGAAGGAGAACTACTATAAAGTTACGGATTGTAGCGATTATGGTTTCGTGTCTTCTATTGCCTTTTCTGAAGAGAAGAAGGAGAACGACAATCAAGTTTCTAACTCAGGTGACAATAATTTGCAAATCGAACAAAAAACTTCTTCTACTGGCTCTTATGGTAAAGAAGAAAAATTAGTCTTCAACTCTAGCAATGCTGAAATCACGACTTCAACTGGCAATGCTGATAATACCAAAAAGGACGAGAAGAAAGAGAACGACAATCAAGTTTCTAACTCAGTTGACAATAACTTGCATATCGAACAAAAAACTTCTTCTACTGGCTCTTATGGTAAAGAAGAAAAATTAGTCTTCAATTCTAGCAATGCTAAAATCACGACTTCAACTGGCAATGCTGATAATACCAAAAAGGACGAGAAGAAGGAGAACGACAATCAAGTTTCTAACTCAGTTGACAATAACTTGCATATCGAACAAAAAACTTCTTCTACTGGCTCTTATGGTAAAGAAGAAAAATTAATCTTCACTTCTAGCAATGCTAAAATCACGACTTTATCTGACAATGCTGATAATACGAAAAAGGAAGAGAAGAAGGAGATTGGTAAAATTATGTCAACTTCAGATGAGCTTGAAGTGCATGCCGTGAATGAATCAACAACAAGTAGCAGTTATGTTGAAAAAAAAATATTCGACATCAACGTAGAAAAAAATGCAGCTTTAGCTGTCAATGCAGGTAATACTAAAACGGGAGAGAAGAAGGAGATTAGTAAAGTAATTTCCACTTCAGATGAGCTTAAAGTTCATACCGAGAATGAATCAGCAACTAGTAGCAGACATGTTGAAAAAAAAATTTTGGATATGAGTAATGCTGGTGCAGCTGAAATTTGTATATCAGATTGTGGTAACCGGAATGAAATTAATAACAAAGAAAGTTTTGGTTCTATCAATAGTGACAAGATGGTGCATGACGAGAAGAAATTTGATGCGAGCGACCGTCTTGTTGAACTCAAGAATTCATCCATTGATAGAAGCAGTGCTTCCACCGTTGGTGTAACTGTTAAATCAGAAAGCACTAAACAGGAGGAGAAAAAAATAACCGAAGCAATGTCATTAAGTGGAGAACGTACAGTACATGATGAGAAGAAAATTACTACCACCAGCATTCATAGTAATGTTAATAGTTCAGCCATTAAGACGACTAACGATAGTGCAGCTGAAATTCGTATATCAGATTGTGGTAACCAGAATGAAATTATTAACAAAGAAAGTTGTGGTTCTATCAATAGTGACAAGATGGTGCATGACGAGAAGAAATTTGCTTCGAGCAACCGTCTTGTTGAAACCACAGAGAAGATAGTAAAGATTCAAGACGATTTAACTAAAGTATCTGGAACCCAATTAAAGGGAAAAGTTTCTCAAATTAATGAGGGGAAAGCCGTGTGTCAACAGAATAATACAGTAAAGAACACTTTGAAAAATATTGATCAGGATATAGTGAACAAAAAGTGTAGCATTACCAAAAGTGCAAAGCAAGATGTTGTCGATATTAAAAATAATCAAGAAGATAAGACATCTGAACAATCGGGAATTTTGTCTAAACTTGTGGGTTTCTTTGCACATCCAGAAAATGAAGTGAAGATAGATATTAAGGAAACAAACAAAGAATCAAAACAAGTTAAAAAGGCAGAAAAAGTAGCTAAGTCAATTAAAGCAATCGAAACAATAATGGGAAAAAATATTAAGGTTATAACCATGGAATTCATTGAAGACTGCAAACGTGGTACTATTGAAGAAAAAATGTCAAAAGCTGGAATAGTGGTTTTTAAAACTACTGATGATGCGAAATCTTTAAAAAATGAAGAACTCCAAAAAGGATGTACAAATAATACAAAAAAACAGCCAAAAAAAGATGAATGTTGTATTTCTCAGCCAATGAAGAAAGAAGACAAACTTCCAGAAAAGAATGACAATAAGAAGACTAAAGGTAAAAAACATTTATGTCGTGGTATGCTTTTTGTGCTCGGAGTATTTATTCTCATTTTTGTGACGATTTCAATTTAGATAGAAAATTTATTTTAAGACACTGTAGATATAAACTTTTGATAAATAGTTCAAAGCTAACGTAGAATTGAAAAAAAATTTTGCGATTTTGAATATAAATACAATGAATATAGAATGTTCAAAGATGGATTCAAAATATGTTTTATTTCTATTATCGATAATTTCATGCTTTAATTTAATACTGTTTTAAATCTCCTGTTCTCAAATAATTTAAAATTTTTCACCATTCAACAGGTTCTAAAGGTAAAAAAGGAAACTAAACTGCTCTCTAATAGACTTCATTTTTTGAATAAATATGAGGTATTTAAAATTTTTTTTCTTTATTTACATACTTAAAATGTTATGAATACTACATATTTTATTATTATTATAATTATAATTATATTATTATTTTTTTATAGTCTTTTTAATTTTAAAATATTATTTTTTTAAATGTTGGAATAATTCATATTTTATAAATATAGTTGTAACAATTAGTTTTCTGAAACGTCTATTATAGAATTTCACAAATTTCAAACATTCAAGATGAAAATTTAACATTTTGTTTTAATTTTCAGTATATTGCTACTTAACAACAAATATAAAAAGTAATGCGGAGATTTAGAACAGCATTAACCTTATCAATGAAAATGAAGCAGTTTTCAAAATTACAGAAAACATTGCATCAACAATTAATATAATACAATGGAATTAAAATTATACATAATGTTGAAAATGTAACAAAAGAATTAAATAAATGTATAATCAACATATATTAATGACCTCGAATTATTTTTCTCCTTTTGATTAAAAGCTAATTTAACATAAAAATCAAATTTATGAATATTTTAGGCTCAAAAGCCGAAAATTATGTAAATTCATTGAGAATTGTGGCGTCAAAACGGAATTTTGTAAGTAAATATTGTGCACTTGTAGCAAATGATCTTTCAATTTTTCCAAAACTTGATAAAATCATATTATTACCAATATTTTTGGAAAGAACATTTTTTAAATCAATTTTCAATAGACTATGAGTGGCTTTTGAATATTTTTAAAATTTTTAATTTTTCTAAATAAATTATTATTCTTTTTGTCTAAAAAAATTTATAACATTACTTTATAAATTTTTAAAAGAAAAATGTATTGGTTAAAATTTGTATTATTATCCAGATGAAAATTTTTTTTTTTCAATCGATGATCATAAATATATGTGAACTTCAACGACGTCAAATTTCGCACATCACAGCGCTTTCTCATCATATTTTGAACTTCTCTATATAAAATATTTTCTCAATTCTTTTACACTGCAAACATAAAACAATACCGAAAATGATGTGCAATATTATTCCGGCAAAATCAAATCAGAAATAATCTGTTTCGGACTAATTGCAGATTAATGTGGAATTAGCATACAGAAATTCAAACAGGTAGATGTCTTAGTAGTGAAAGTCAGTTTAAGTCAGGCGAAACGTTAAGACCATGTGATTGTTGTGGCGATTTCACATGTAAATATTCTCGGTAGGTTTTCTCGCAAAATTCGTGATAGATTGAATTAAAATTTTGTATGGACAACTCAGAAATAGTATAATGATTCATTGTCATGTGCCAGGGCCCAGGGTATATTAATACTTTGTCAAAAAATTTATTCTAATATATCTTTATAAAATTTTATGATGTCGAATTAAAAATTATCAAATATTTTTTAGTAGAATTAGATTTTTATAGTGTAGATTTTACAATGAGCCGAATTTTACAGACGTATGGATAAGTTATAAAAATCAATTGTTAGAATTTGCATATTTAATAAAATTTTATTAGATATAATTTTCATTTGCTCGAATTATAATTTGATATTATTTCCATTGAATGGAGTAACCTTGATATTTTTAGGGGACTCAAAATAATTTAATTAATCAAAATTAATAAAAAAGGTTACCTACCCCGTGCAGAAATTTGAGTTAGATTTTAATAGGGACTTCGCTGTGCGTCCCTTTTGCCAGATGGGTTCCGGAAGGGATCGACGCCAGCGAGGAATGTTGGTAGGGATCTAGCAAGGATATCCCTGCGATTTCCCTACCAGGAATAAAGGGTTCTCGCTAGAACCCTATTAGCTCCCTTTAATCGATTATTATTAAATAAAAATTAATAAATATTTAATAAATCCAAAAAACATATTTATATAAAGATCCAACGTCCTTTCTTCCGTGTGTGTTTTTGAAATTGTAGAGTTAAAAACGCCCGTTATGCTATTTATTATAGCCGTGAAGTTTAATTGAACTTCCTAACCTCCAAACAGTACTAACACAAATTTTAACCAGAATTATAAATAAAAAAGTTAGAAATCATAATATTACCTGAAGAAATTGGAATAATCATAGTAAAAATTAAAAATTTGCAATAATGATATTAACATAAAGAGAAAATTTGAGGTTAGAAAACCAATCAATATATTTTTTACTTTTAATATTCTAAGTACATATTTCATGTTTGTTGGCTTAATATTAAATATTCTTAAATTGATAATATTATGTTAATATTTACCTTCTGATAAAGAAGATAAGTGATTTAAGTCATCTACATTGTTAATATCCATAACTTGCTCTTGAACATATTGCATTATATTTAATTCAGCGCGTACGGATTTCACCTCACGATATTGTTTGCTACGCATTCGCGATTGCTCTTTTTTCCTCTCATTATTTTCCATTATTAATTAACAAAAGAACAATAAAATTCAGGTTCACACAAAATGACATGTGCACTTGCACCATTCATGTCATCATTCTCGACGATGGAACATCGATATATTGAAAACTTCGATATATCGATTTCGATATTTTCGATTTAAATTTAAATATTATTTTTAAATTAAAGAAAAATTGAAACTATATATAATAATGTAATTTATTAATAATATTATTTTGATTCTATCGCTCGGTGTTATTTAATAATAAATTTAATCTATTTAATAATTTTATTATTATAATTTATTATTATTAATATTTATTCTTTTTATTATTATTTCTAAAACGAAAATCTTAAAAATATTTGTGTCCCTTATTAAACATAATTAAATTCATATTTTAAATAAAGAAAACATCGAAAAATAGTCTAAGTCCGATTCGAGGTATTTCTGGCTAGAATTTAGTAAGGGCTTAATCAGATTTTTCTAGTTTGAATTGCCTTTCTAGAATTCAAACGGGATCTCAGCAGATATTTCTAGTCTGAATTTCTCACAAGAATCTAATCAGTTTCGAGTACGACTTTTCTAGGCTAAACTTTCTAGCGCGGTTCTAGTCGGAATCCATTATCACGTTGAAAAGCTTAGGGACATTTCTACACGGGGGAAGATGCCTTGACCGTCAGTCCTTTCTTGGGACACGAATTAGAAAGAAAATAAGGAAAGACAAAATAGTTGAAAGAGAGCACAAAAAGAATTGAAAATAAATTATTTATCAATAAACAAGACCATCAGGCGAATTGCTGATTAATTAATTAACAAATCACAAAAAGGGAACTAAATCCGAGAAATCAAAGAATAAAGTTGACAAATCAAAATTTTCCGGCATTGCTGACTAGCTGCAGTCCATCGATGGAAAATGGTAGATGGGCAAGTTCGTTGTTGTTAGCCAAAATAAATATATAATAATTAACAATTTGGAGGTCAGTTCGTGACAAAATAATAAATATGTGATTCGATACAATTTAAGTTCAAGATTCAATATATTTTTAGGTTAGCTGTCAATAAGACAATTGAATGAATCAAAAGGACGAAAAAAAGTTAATTTGACAGCTACAAAAATACTTATTCAATCAGAATAAGGATTCTTTTATCAATTCGAGATATTTATAGGAATTATAGGATGAACAGCCACAGGAAAATTAAATCATAATTTTAACAAATAATCAAATAAATTAATGAATGATATCTCAAGAAATTCAAAGACTAAATGAATAAAAATAAGAATCAAATTAAATTTAGTACTGAAATCTCCAATGTTTTAATTATTAAATCTTTTTCCAAAAATCCAGTATTTAACTTTTTCAAGACTCCACAATACTCAATCCTTTAATAAATTATTCATAATAATTGTTTTTTTTTATAAATCAATTTGATAAACAAAATTTCACGTGTTTTCTCAATGATTTCACTAGAAAGAATAAAGAAAAAAACGTTGTTTATTGATCACCATGGAAATTCGTTGCCAACCCACAAAAATAAAAATAAGTCATTATATTAATTCGCGACGCGTGGCCTAATTTCCGAGAATCTTCTCTTGTTCTCTTGATGCTGATTGGCCAGTTGAAAAAGGAAGGAAATTCAAATGTTCTCAAAATTAAATCTTGATCAAATAAATAATTAAATCTTCAATAACATTAAATTTTGGATTATTATTCAATAAATTAATCTATAAAATAGATTAATTTGACGCTAAATGGTAAATTCCATATAAAATTGACCGTGGTCTGACAAAGCCTTCCAAGAATCGGGGTTATCTTGAATATTTCTCTAGGAAACTAAGTCATTTGCATTTTCAGAGTAATAAACAGCACGAAAATAATGGCATTCCAAAATAGTCCAATTCATGGGTACGTCGGAAGAATAAAAATCGAAAAATCCAAATTAATAAATTCAAAAGAGAGGTTGGGTTTTCTCAGCAAACAATTAAATTCCATAATTTTGACAATAATAAAACTAAATATAATCTTCAAATTCCAGAAATCCTCACATTGTTGACTCGCAATAAATTTTACAAGAACTGAAAAAATGGACTTGAAGAAGTTAATATTTAAATCTAAATAATTAATCAATTCCATATCTCGAATTGTTGTGAAATCATTGAGTATTTTTATACTTAATTAGTCAAGTTTTTATCGAGAATTATTTAACAGAATGAGCTTTTAAATTAAAATTTGTGATTTATAAAATTGTTAATTTTACAACGTCACAATGGATAATTTCCATAATAATTGATAAACATTTCATTTATCCGAAATAGCAAACGGACGCAAATCAACCAATCAAAAATTATCCATAAAATTGGAATTGGTTGCTTTTAAAAATCGCATCGAAATCTTTCTGTCGATAGATTAATAATTAAAGACTCCAAAAATCCTTAAGTAATGAGTTTTAAGCGAATTCTACCAATTAGTCAAAATTCTTTAGCCATATTGTTTCCGCCATTTTGAATTTCTGAAATCTGATGCCAGATTCATAATCGTCAACGTCGAAAACTTTCTTCTGCACTGAAAAAAATTTACTTCGCATTAATGACTATTAACCATAGCAACTTTAAATCTAGTCAGCGTAACCAAGCATCCTAGTCAATTCAGTTATGTAGCTTGGTTAATATTGTCAAAGTCGATTTAGTAGAATTGACCCCTTGTTTCCTAGTTATATTAACTAAGGTGTTTGGTTAATATCGCCTGTATCTATAGTCAATTTTGCTAAAGTTTAATTAGTCAAACTGATTCTAGTCAATGTAACTAAGATACCTGGTTATTCTGATAAGCTTCCCTATAGTCATTCCGACTAATTGTCAAAATCAACTTTGACCAAGATTGCCTAGTAGGTTCCTCTCGTAACCAGGCAAATTAGTCAATTCCTGGTATACGGGGGTTAGGAATTTTTTTCAGTGTAACAAATTTTAAGCGAACTGAACTGAATTTAAACATTCGGTAAGTTTAATATTTGGACGAATGTATATTGAGAAAGTAAAATATACTGACAAATACAATTTTTAGAAGATAAATATTATGACAACTGAAATTT